ATAGTATCAAAGTATCAGACATGTGCCTCGAGGCTCAGATGTTCTTTTAAACTATTGATGAATGAACTATAGCCCAGCAACTCACGTATATGGACAGGTAATTCATTGAAGACTTTTATAGCCTATGTAAAAGGATTGTATAATCCTTTGTTCATTCTTACCATGCTCAGGTGTAAGTAATTTCCACCCCTTGTATTATACTCATAAAACTGGTTGTTGACTAGTAGATCGTTGTTGCTTTTGATTTTTTTGTTTTTTATTTTATATATGTTCTTGCATTGCTCAAGTTTAAGTAGATATTTAATTGAGTGTAGTTCCGTCTGTGAGAATAAATCATTTGTGTGGGTTCGAAATGGAATTTGAAATAAAATTTTTATTGATTTATTTTGTAGCGTTGAATTTTTTTGAAATTAGTAATGCCACAATTACCCCATATGATTAACAGATACCTAAGATTCGCCAATATATATGCATTGTAAACCAAGTATCTATTACTGAAACTCAAGTAATTGGAACACCTAAAAAGATCTCCTAACATTGGTACAATTTTATCATCAATATTATGTTCTATGTGTCCTGACCAGTTTAATTTATCATCTATTATGAGTCCCAAATACTTGGTTTTTGCAACATTCATTGAGGGTAAGTTATTTATTTTTAATTCAATATTTCCACAAATTCTATTTTTTTGTTTAAATAGCATGTAAACGGTTTTTGCAGAGTTCACCTTGAGTTTATTATGTGCAAGCCAATTTGAGTATTTAGAGAGATCTTCATTAACTGTGTTCTCCAGTAAATGTAAATCAGATCCACTGTTCAAAAGGACCGTGTCATCTTCGAACGTGAAATACTTTCCTTTAAGCCCGGGCTGCCTTAGTGTATAGAACAGGGGCCCCAAAACGGAACCCTGTGGTAAGCTACAATTATTTTTTATACAGTCACTCATGCTTTCACTAACAGCGACAAACTGGGATCTTTCCTTTAAAGATGTATCAATGAGAGAATAAGTTTTGCCCCTTATACCCATGCAACGTAGTTTTTTCAGAAGTACAATATGATCAACAACGTCAAATGCCTTTCTTATATCAATGAACACTGCAATAACCATTTTTTTATACAATTCCGATATAATATTATGAATGAAATCTATGGTAGCGCTTAGAGTGCTACTACCCTTGATAAACCATACTGATACTCATCAAATCCCACATGTCTCAGAACGGCAGCCGGAAATTTAATCTCTAAAACATCGAGCCAGAACAGATGTTCGTTCTTAAAACTATTGAAACCGTGTTCAAGGTAGTTTAAAAAATGTCTGTATGCATGAAAACAAATATATCTCGATCTTACCATATCCCAATGTATACTTTTGAAAAATTGGTGTTCAGTGATTTCTGTAAATGCATCAGGGTTATGGCATCCTAAGCGGTCCGCAGGATTTTTATTCAGGAATCCTTTGAGAACATTAGCAGCCTTCACACTCAATGATCGAGGAATACGTATTGTTTTTTCTAATATCACTTGGAATAAATAGTCTTCAGTGTTCTGATCCGGATTTTCAGATGCTCCAGCTATGTCAAACGGCGACCGTCCAGCCAACATTTCATATAAAAGTACCCCTGAAAAAATAAGGATTAGAGAAAGTACATACCCAAATCTTTGGCAAAATTTGATAAAATATATTAATACGAGGGTGGTCCCAGAAATAACCGGCACAACAAAGAAATCACAAAAATTTTGGAAAAAAATGTATTCATTTTCAACATAATCTCTTTGCAGCTCTATACACTTTTACAAGAGATATTCAATAAGTCCGATACTGTTTTTATAATAAGAACTATCTTGCTCTCCTCAAAATAGCAATAAACTGCAGACATCACTTCTTCATCGTTGAAAAATCTTTCACCACTCAGCCATTTTTTCAAGTTTGGGAACATTAAGTAATACATGGGGGCTAAATCTGTCGAATAGAGTGCATGAGGTAGCAATTCAAACTTCAATTCGTTAATTTTGGTGATTGCGATAATGGATTTGTGAGCTGGTGCATTATCGTGATGAAACAACACTTTTTTCTGTTCTCAGATCTTAAAAGAATGCTCACTAGAGTGACCTCGTTTGAAACCGAGGCAAAGACAAATCATACTATAACCATAGCTGAACAAAATTGTGACATTCATGAATAATCTCAATAGAAACATTTAGTTCACACTCGGAAACAGAGATAGAGAAACAGATACATTTTTTAGACCTGATCATTACACACCATCAGCATAAATTTGAGTTCAATGTATTCAGAAAACCTAGCTATACAGACATTACCATTCCAAGCGATTCTTTCCATCCAGACAGTAATAAATTAGCAACTTACATTTCAATGTTGCACAGAATATTCTCACTACCATCAATCAATCAATCAATTTTATTGGTAATAATATACATCGTGCTTTTACAAGTCAAGAATACAATTCAAGAATACAATTTACAAGAATACATACAATTATAAAATTACAGTTTAAAAAATAAAATGAGTAAAATAACTTTGAGTTGAATACAATTTGAACAATCATATTAGGTCATCGAAGTTATTATCCAAGAATTCCTGAATTGAATAAAAGGCTTTCTTCACCAAATAATCTTTGATTTTTTTGAAAAATAATCTCTCTTCAAGGAGTCTTATGGTCACTGGCAAGCAATTAAAGAAATGTATACCATAGTAGTCAGTTCCTTTTCTGGTTCTATGCAGTCTGTGATATTCAGGAATAAAGTCCTGGTTACACCGTGTTTCATAATTATGGAGTTGGCTATGTGTTAAATATTTTTGCTTATTATTATAGACATATTTAATGCAGTTCAGTATATATGCACAAGGAAATGTTAGTGTTTTAAGCTCAGCAAAACAATGTCTGCAGCACTGGCGATATTTGAGATTCATAATAATACAGATGCATCTCCTCTGTAGCTTAAAAACTTTTTCCGAATGGGAAGAGTGACCCCAACTCAGCACAGCATATGTCATAGTTGAATAAAAGTAACCATAATAAGCTGACATTATAGTTTCTCTAGATACAGTTTTAACAAGTGAACTTATCATATATGTAATTTTTGAGAGCTTAGACGATAGTTGAATAATGTTTTTTTCCCACATTAGACCTTTATCAATAATTATTCCAAAAAGATTAACCTCTTCACTTCTTGGCAGATCTGAATACAGAGGTCTGAGGGTAAAATTGATATTTTGGGTCTTGTTTTGGTTAAGAGAAAGTTTGTTCGCTAAGAACCATTCTTTTATCTGATTCTGTCCCTCAGCCACAATTTCTTGAATTGGTTCTGACGGGTGATATACTTACAGATGAGCGGTGTCATCCGCAAATAGTATAAGTTTTGAGCCAGCTACATTGACTTTTAAGTCATTTATATAGATCAAGAAGAGTAGAGGCCCCAAAACTGAGCCCTGTGGGACTCTATGATGCAATTGCATAATATCTGAATAGACACCATCATATATAACATACTGAGAACGTTCTGTTAGGTAGGACCTGAGAAAGGCTATACTATCAGAATGAAAGTTGTAAAACTTTAGTTTTTTAAACAATATATCAGTTGAGACACAATCAAAACCCTTTGTCAGGTCAAATAGAGAAGCATATGTGTCAAGTCCCTGCTTCCAGCCGTTCAATACAATATCTGACAACTCATCAATGGCAGCCACAGTAGATCTATTGGACCTAAACCAATATTGATCATCCACAAACAAACCATTAACCTCAAAATAGTTTATAATATAATCCCTCATCCCTTGTCTGCTAACAATTTCACAAGGGAAATTGATATAATTACACAGATAGGCTATAAAAATGGTTTCAACGCAGATACTATCCAGAAGTTAGTCAGGAAACGAAGCCAAAAATTCACTTACAAATTAATATACCCCCAGATCAAATAATCAGAAATCAAGAAATGGTAAATCTTAGATATTTTGGTAAAAGAACAGAGATAATTGCAAGTTTCTTAAAAAAAAACAATGTGGAAGTGGCATTCAGACAACATGCCAGAATCTGATTTCCTTTTCAATACCAAAGATAAAGTGGACAAGTTGGTAAATCTGGAGTTAATAAGCTCAAGTGTCCGGAGTGTAATAGGGTTTATGTGGGACAATGTGGTCGAAATTTCCAAAAACGTTATGCTGAACATGAAAGGTCCTCCAAACTAGGAAAAAATAATTCGACGTTTCCAAACCATTCCTTGACATGCAAACACAAGTTCCCGAATCTAAACGGTATGGAAATTTAGCACTATCCAAGAAAGGGTTGCAAACTAAATTATTTGGAATCCTTGGAAATTCATAACCATAAAAATTGTGGGTGCGACCTGTTAAAAGATCAAATCACCGGTTTTCTAATTAGAATATCCACATTGTCACACGTAAACAATATTCAGGTACTCAATTAAGTTAAGCGCCTCTGGTCTAAAGGCTTACAATAAACTATAGGTTCCTTTTTTAGGATAAGAACTTCTTTATTGTTCACTGTAATTGACATGTTCTATACCCAATAGGGTCCCTTAATGAAATATATGATTGATTTATTGATGGTTATTACCTACAGTAGTGTTATGTAAGGGCTAATGTAATCAGTTATTTTTAGTTTAATGTATAACTTTGAAAATGTCCATATAGGACGAAACTGCAGTAACGTTAGTTACAATTAAAAGTGGTAAAAAACACACAGTGTGACCCATTTTTAATGGAAACACCCCCCTAAAATTTGAAGTTGTAAACCGATTTTAATAATTTTTTTTTTGAAATGTCAAGTACTAAAGGGTCTACCTTGGGACAAAATTTGAAATGTTTATTAAAGTTTCAGGGCATACTTACGATATTTTTCTTTGTCGAAAATCGGGATTTTTTATTAGCGATTTTTTTATTGAAAAAATCACTACGCCACTGGATTCAGAGTGCCTCTAAACAGGTGTGACCAAAATTTCATGAAAAAATATTCATTATTAACAAAGTTATGACAACTCAAAAATTCGAAAACTCACACAG